GTCTAAATGCACGTAAGCTGTCCATTGCATACCATACTTTCCCTGAGGTATAGGAGTCTTCATAATCCAGTCGACTACCAGAAATAAGAGAGAGACAGTAAGCAACCTTATCTGACTCCGGTCCTTACTTGAAATGCATCTGTCAGCTGTCCTCCACGCAAGACTTTGCACTGTGTTCCGTTGTATGAATTCCGTATTATTTTGACTATCTTCTTCGGTAGACTATAGTAATTACATTTGCTTTTTCAAGTTAACTTTTACCCATTTTGGATAAAACAGATGAACCTTCCGACTATTCGTGACCTGATTTCGATCAAACAATTTTAAGATCAGATACAGTTCAATGCACTATTCGGTTTTTTGACAGTATACTCCAGAATAAATTAGCTCTCTCATTTAGAGACTATCAAACATTAAGATTATGTTATAATAATATTTTCCGCATCCTCTACAATTTATTTTTACCACATATCTAAAAATGTTCTTCTGTATTGATAAGTTGAATGATTCATAAACAATATTCATCACTTGAATTCATTGATATCATCGACAATTACACATAATATTACATACAGTGTTGATAAAAGGTTAAGAACGTTGTGTCCCTGAAACCTTGAAAACTATATACTATATTCTAATATCAATTAGTTATTCTCTCTTGTTTCATTTTCTCCATTATCATTATTGACTTGATTAAAATTCTTTATACATTTTTAGTGAAATCTTTCTTTCCATCAAACTACTGTATTTCACAATAGCCCATATATATATATATATATATATATATATATATATATATATATATATATATAAACTGGCATTTTTGGGCGTTACTATACTAATATATTATGTATAGTTTATTTGAGAATAGATTTTTGTTACCACCTACTTAAATAATGATCAGTAATATATTGGATACATATTTTGAAGTAATAAGAGTCAATTAAATACAAAAAAAATGGGATGAAAAAAGAATGACTAATCGATTAGTATGATTTATTACACTGTCTCTTTTCTAATTACGTATACACGTGAATATATATGCACAAATTTATTGAATATTCTTTTATAAATATTCTCATGCTCACTAATAGAAATTATTTGGTAAAACTTATAATGTGATCGATCAATGCGTAAGAATATGAATTGCTTTTTTACAATTGATAGATTATACTAAATGGATTCTCTACAAACCAATTACATTTTTATTTCATGACTACTACTAATGATAATAATAATAATAGTATTATTATTATTAGGACCGATAATAATTTAAGAGTAATATGACTGTTAATGATAAATGTAGTAACCATGACTTCTAGAAAATAAGTAAATGGCACTTTTCATTGTAACAGTTAATTATTACTGATAAGCAATGAAGTAGCTATTAAAAAGCTTTCATAACAACATACTACTGACACTTGAATAACGATTATCAAAATTAAAGAATTTGGTATTTAAAAGACTAATATTTAAACGAAGAATATTCTTTTCAGGTTCTACAATTCATACATCCAAATTAATAATCTGAAAAATGGTAAGGTTAAGGGCAAAGTACATCGTTTAAAGCATGTGAATTTAAGATTGTTAAACAAAATACAATAGAATTGTTCATGTTGATATGACTCATATAGAATGTTAACTTGGATCTGCATATATGTTAAGTGAAAATTTAAGATCCGTGATCAGAATAAATATGGGTCAGATAGGGTGAGAGAAATAATAGTGCAATTACTATTCGGTCAAATGTTTAGTGGAAGGCTATATTGTGTGAAAAGAATGTTCTTCGTTCAAATATTAATCTTTTATTATGATGGGGATCTTGAAACGATTAAAATTTGTTATTTCTTTTAAAACAAAAAAAGAAACTAATTCATTCCTAGTGAACAATTAACAATAAAATGAGACAAATATCAACATTGTTTAAGTTATTATTTGATAAATAAACAAATTCAATTACCCACAAATTTTTATAGAACAATTTTTATTTCATTTAAACAAAGAATATATTTGTGATAAGCATAAACTAGATGCCAAGAGTTTTGGGGTAAAACAAAAAATATAATAGAAGATAAATGATGAGATATTTAAACATACTAGTGAAATACTAAATAGCTATGAAATAAATTATTTTAAACTATAAACCATGTTCTTATTATTGTTGTTTCCATACCATTTCTTTTTCTATGACATGGATTCTTATCAAAATCATTTTTAATTGCCTAAAAAATTTTTTGATTAAAAAAAGACAAAACAAGCAATCTCTTGAAAATCAAGTCTAAAGAAAATATAATCCTTAACCTTTTATTCTTTCATTGAATTCAATTTATACTTTGAATTAAGTAAAAGGCAAAGAAAACATTTCATAGGTTTCTTCCATAGGTTACAAGATTTTCAACTATTATTCTCTTTTAATGGTTGAGATCATGAATCAATTGAAGTTAGGTCACCATGGAAAACCTGGAAGCACTAGACGGTCATTTTGTCCTAGTGTGGGACATCTCAGCACTGCGCATTCAAGATCCCGCCTCCCGCGAGATTTGAACCCAGGACCTATCAGTTTCGCGCGCGAGCGCTTAACCATTAGAACACAGAGCTGGCATCCAACGGTGTTAATGTCTAACTTAAACCAACCCACGAAATTGCACTACCGTCCACCATTGTCTTCATTAAGCTGATATCTCACAACAGACCTAGTTGAACTCCACTGGTCGCTGCTTCTCACTAGAACTCCAGGAAATACCTCTTCAAGCCAATCACTAATGAGCATATGTTAATTCATATCAGAAGGGTTTTTGTGGATATCATAGTAATTTCAATAGTTGAAATCATGAGTCAATTGAAGCTAGACCAACATGGAAAACCTGGAAGCATTGGAATAAAAATATTAAAATAACGATTTGATAAAGTTCAATCATCATCAATAAATCTAAGTTATCTAAAGAATCGAGTAAATTTTTAAGGATGAAAACGTTTATCATATAATTGAAATTAAGTAACAACTTATGATTACCTGAATAAAATCAGTTAATAAATGATTAATGGGATTTCTTCTGATATTTAATCTACTATTCTACACTATTTAATAATTGTATAAATGATGTTAAAGAGATCTAGTGTAAAATACAACAACAACTACGTATGATTATGATTATATGAAACCTGATTGTTTTTTTTTTCGATTTTCAAGACAATCAAAAGTTCAGATGAAAATTTACTAAAACTCTATCACACCTTTTAAAAATGGTTTATTCATTAATATCACCTTGTATAAAAAGAATACATCATCATAATACTTTTCATAAACAAGAATAATACACTGACTAATTACATATGTGGGGTACAAACATTCATTCAAATATCAACAATACTTAGAAAGGAGTTTAATGTATTGAAGCTAAATAATAAAAGATTAGTTTAAATAATTTCATACTATAAAATTTTGTCTACAGTGAAAGAAATTTAAAGTTGAATGTCAGTCATACTGTGCATATGGTATCAGTTATAACTGGAGTCCCAAATGAACACACATGTTTTTAACCAAGCTATCTACTTCTTAAAATATTAAAACTAAGGTTCCAACCGCATATCATGACTATCTAATGAAATGTTGAAAGTAAGATTACAACTAATACAAAAGGAAAGACCTGGTTTTCTTATTCATGATAATCTTTTATCTGGTTAGAGTGCAATGAAAAAAAGGAAGCAGATAAATCCGAATCGACTGATACTAGTGAGCTTTCGGACCAAGCTACAAATCCTTTAAAAAACAGTATTATTTATACAGATTGCCCTAAGCAACAAAATAAACTGTCATAATCACATAGTTGGTTCACTTTTTAATAAAGGTATAAATTAATAACTCATGCAAATTATCTTTATACCATTTCACCGAGTATTCGGCTTTGAATCCAACAGAGGCCTGGTTGGTAGAATTCGGCTAGTAGTAAAGGGTAAACAACTTAACTTTAGCTACTAGTTGGCGACTGATGATTAAGGTTAGCTCAATTCTATAAGGAGTTTAGCTGCAGTCTGAACATTTTAGTGACAAATAATCCGAAAACAGCATCGGGTAATGTATGTTTAGGTCTCTGAGCAATATCGTCCTTAAAATGGGTTAAAATAATAGTCAAATATCTAAAGTCAGGTACTGCCCACTAAATGTTTTAGGCCATCAAATAATCAATATCATTTCGGTGGAAAAAATAGATATAAAACCAATTAGCCTTGTCTAATATTCATTTAAAATAAAAGTAACCGATTGTGGTTCAATTAAAATTAATTTTACTTGAAAGTATTGTCTCCTTTACTAAAGACTATTCTGATTACCCTTGGTACTCACAAATGCTCTTTCGATTTATGCTACTCAATAAATTACGAGTAGTTCAAACAAAATAGACAATAAATGCATGAAACAATAATAATTATTATTCAAATTTATTTAAATAAAGTATTTGATTCTGAATAGGATACTGTAGAAATATAAAACGACATTCGTGCTTTACGGAACTAAAAACATTTAAACAAAAAGTCTATATTCAAACACTTATACTAGAACATTACAAAACTATACACCAAATCAACGATTAGATTTTAAGATGGAGTCAATCAGTTAAATTATAAAAACCTATATGTTATAAGAAGTAACTCATATGATAACTGTGAAAATTTTAAATAGCCGAGTAGTTGTAATTTTGGCAGATTTGGACATAAACCAAAGATTATATATATAAGTATGATCTATTAAAATATATGAATAACTAGTGAACTACTTTCATGATGTGCAATCTGAAACGGCCTTACACGGATTTCAAATCTAAATTCGTGCTGCACTTCAGCAGCAAAAAAGTGAACTACAAGATGTATTCCGTAAGTGGCATTTTTTATCATACAAACGCCACTGGGTTTAAAACTCCGAGTTTTGACTAGCAGAATAGAGTACACATTTCAACTCAAACCAATAAAAAATGAATTCTATTTGTGCAAACCCTAAAAATCACCCCTTTCACAGTTAAACAACATTTCAAGTCACGTATACACATCAATGTTTGTTTTTGTTTACAGACTGTTATGCGTCGACTTGTAAGAAGATATATACATCAATCGAAGAAAACAATGAGACAAGATGGAGTGAATGAAGATGATCTATTGGAAATCAAACAAGATATATCAAGTTTGAGGTAACAAAATATTGGTTAATTACTACAACGGCAATAATAATTTATTTATGAGCACTACACACTATGAAATAAAAAAGTACACTAAACGAATTACAGAATGAATCTACAACTTTCCATGTACACCAAAATACAATTTGTAAGGATTGAAATTAAAAATAATACAATGGTTAATTTGACCGCTAAATTTTAAACGATCTGATAGCACTAATTCTCTATGAACCAAGTTTTCTTCTAGAAGAAAGCAACTTTGATCCAGTGTACTGCATATATATCAGCTTGTTCATTCACGTAGAACACAATATCGTAGTATCATTACCAATATTAGACTTGATAATTTCGAAGAAATTGAATATTCGATACAGTGGTAGATTTGTGATGTCCCAATGAGTGTCAATTCGAATTTCCAACGTTTTTTGACTCAGCATAAGTCAATACTTCAGACTAAATAAATAACCGAATGAAAATAAACACACGTTTGAATAATATAGAGAAACGAGACATAATATTTTGTCTAATTAAAATTGAGGTAGATCTGTTTATGACAATGTCATTTTATTTTTAGTCAAGATGATTCTGTGTCAAGCATCACTGTATATGAACTCCTAAAAACTGAGTTGGTAAAGACTTTAATAATTTTTTTCTGGTTAGCGTTTTTTAGTGAGTTAGTTTTCTACGGGATGGGGTAGCTAACCCCATGCCCAACCCTCCATTTTTATCCGGGCTTGGAACAGGCAGTAGCCTCAGAAGGGCTACAGGCAGAGTTGAGTCGGTAAAGAGATTGGAACACATTAACCATAGATATTAATATGATCCAATAGTGATTATTTGATCATTTTTAATATCCCTAATCTATTTTAAATAAAAATTCATTCGTAGAATGAATAAATCTAGAGAAAAGTGTTACGTATAACTTTGAACAATGAAAGTTTGAATCTTAAACACGAATGTGAATCTTTCTAAAGAATGTAATATTACATTAAAACATGAAATCTACTTTAGAAGTTTACATAGTCAATATATTCAAAGAATATAATTAAATATTCATAAATATTTAAAAAATTTCTATTCCTTGAATTTCCATTAAAATTCTGATCTAATTTATTCAAAAAGAAAAACGAAAAAAAAAGCATTTTAATCAAAAAAACTTGTAATACATTTATAGATTTGAAATACGTGAAGATAGAAAACGGGAAGTTGTACGTGCTGTTTGTCAATTAGAAAGTTTAAAACAAGAACTTGTCGGTGAATTAAGTAAACAAAATTCAATATTACAAAATGTTCTATTACCTTATACTGTTGCTGCTGCCACTACTACTAATACTACTAGTACTACCACTACTCCTACTACTACAAATTGTACAATATCATCTTACCAAAATGCAATTACTTCTATTCAAAAAACATTACCAAAATCAGAAACTGAATTACCATTATTAGTTAATATTCAAAAAAAGCATTCATTACAACATTATAGTTCAACTAGTAATACTACTGATCAAACATATTCAGTAGATTCTAAAATAAAAGATTATAAAAAGAAATATTCATTGAATTATGATAAAGATATTAATCATTTAACAAAAATGAATGAAATATTATTTGATTATTCATGGTTACCTGATAAATACAATAAACCTAATACAGTTAAAGGATTATATATAGATGATTGGTATCAATTTAAAAATGAAATAAAAATTGGATTAAAAGAAGAACTTGTTTCACTAATTAAAAATCAATATTTGTTAGTGAATAATGAAAAATTAGTAAATGAATTGGAAACTACTAATAATAATGACATTAGTAATCAGATTATATCAACACCATACAAATCGCTGACAGATGAAAATAAATTGGATATTCTTCAGAATAAAACTTGTAATAAACATTCTGAAAAAACATTTCCAAGATTTATACAAAGTACACAAACAAATTATAACTTTAGAAGAAATTCTAGACAGAATGATGATAATACTGAAGAAATAAAACAATCACATTCAAAATATCCAGATAATATCAAAGAGAAATCATCCTGTTCAACATTTAAATCATCATCACCCCCGCGACCATCCGTTCCCAACGATTCCCTATCATCAGCATTAATACCATCATCATCATCACGATCCCATGATCAATATTTAACAGCTAGTACAAGTAAAGCAATGAAAAATATAAACATATCAAATAGATCACGTATTATACCTATTGTATCCCCAACTTCTTCGACTAATATCACTACTATTAATAATAATAATAATAATAATAATAATAATAATAATAGCAGTAGCGGACATCATAACAGCAAACTACCAAGAGACGAACATAATATTGATAAAAATGAAGGAATAATCAAAATCTATGAAACTTCTAATATGCAATACGAAGATGATAGTAATAGTTCAACAATTAGGAAGTAATTATATATTTTCTGTCGTAAATCAATAATTGATTTTAAAAGGTTATTACCATTATTATTACTGGAAAGAAAATATAGCTGAATATTAATTAGCTATAAGAAATACTTCAAAGATAGAATTCTATTAAATCTATTCTGTAAAATAATTTAATAAACAAACTTTAAAGATTCTTCTTTTTTAAAACAAAAATTGGAAATTACAATTATAAATATTAGTTTGTATATTTTACAGACTAACATGAATGAGTCTACCTTAACAGTATGAAAAATTAAAATGAATATAAAATGCCCAAATATATAACACATTATTTACATAAATTGCATATAACATAAATGTTTCATTTCAATTATTCATTTATAGTATGATTATTTTATTTTACAAAGTAATATAATAGAGACAGAAAATTAACAAGAAACTAATGAGCGTTTTAATGTAATAAATAAATTTTTAAAAAATAAACCAGAACTTAATCCACATGACTATTTTATACTACTTAACAAATTCTATTAGTAGTATGAATCTGAAAAGAAAATTAATGGAATGATAATAACTGACAATAACCGATAAAAGATAATCTGTAATTATTCATTCAGTATTCATTGATAATTAGTTTTAATTGAAAAAGCTGAATTATGAAAAATTTAATATCTCTGAGTTACATAAAATATACGTAATAGGACAATTGTGGTGTGCTACTTATATCGACATAAGTAGTATATAACACGAGTCAGGAATAAAATATTTGGCAGCAGAAGATGGAGAAAGAACGGGAACAGAAAGTGATTGGCATGAAAATGAAGGAACAGTGAAGTATGAGATGAACGAGTGACATTTGCAAAAGAACAGTCAAGTTTAAGTCAATTTTTTGATATTTTGTAAATGAAGTATTTACTGTATGGTTTTGTTCTCTGAGCTGGATGGTTTGGTCGTGGAGCTTTCATCGTTCTTCTGAACGACATCATCAGCACAAACTTTAGATAGATGAAAGCTCCACGACCAAACCATCCAGCTCAGAAGACAAACCTCCATCAAAATCATCCACCTGAGCTAAAAATCTCCACCATTACTGTATGGTTCTCAGATTTTAGTAAGATGTTCTGTAATTTTATGTACTAACACGTTCGATTGTCCCCCACTTGTCTTCTCGTTCAGTACACAATAAATTGCTTTAAGCAGCTTATTGATACAGCGATTTTTCTTAAAATCGATATCATGAAAGCGGACTTGTAGATGATTTTCCATGAATCAAATGATCAAGTATTATCATCAATTTACACGAAAGACCATCATGAATTATCGTGTTGAATACATGATAAACTCAGTTAATTTTCGAATTTTGAAATGATTATTTTTAATTTTAAGTCGGCATCTTGCACTCCGATCAAACTCAAAATTTCGCTTTTACACTTAAGAACACAGACTGTTCGTAAATTTTTAATAACGGCAAAGAGGATTAGAAAACTTGGAATTATTCAGTAAGTCATCCTTAAAAGAAGGAACAGTAGTTTAAAGAGTTAAAAAGCGTGTTTAATGGCAACACTGGAAGTCATATTTCTAGATCACAAGACAAATAAAGAAGCTACAAGAAGAATGTTTCAACGCAACCATTCATTTAGACAGTTTGAAAAATTTTCATACGCTGATTCGTTTAGCAGTACACCGTACGCTGTAGAAAGAGTATATGAAATCCGAGAGCAAGTCTCCAACTATAATGACGTTCCCTGTGAATACAACTGCGTACAGTGAATCCTTTCAAACAATCGACAGACCAATAATAACTTCTCTAAGTTTCTGCCTTTATTACTTTTATATATTTGTAGTCAGTTCGTAATTTCCACTAACAACATAACTTCAGTTACCATGAATATACAGATAGACATACCAGGGTTAGGAGAAGCGTACTTCTTTATTCATTTTAATTACCAACTGTAATCTTTTGAAGCTTGACAAATGCTAAAACAATTGATAATATTCTTCGGCTCTAATATGACATTTGCTTACAAGTCTATTAACTAGGACGCATGTCGAAAACTATTTTTGTCAAAAACCATTGGGTTTACTCCAAATAATACAATAGCGTGATTATTCAAATCAGATCAGTGAATAAACGAAATATTGGTCGATATTTACTGGTCATTTCGCAAATGAATAAGACCTATTCTACAGACCATTTAATAAAATCCATCAGAATTTTACACAACAAAAATTGTTTGGTCGGTTCTAACATTTTCCCTGTAATTAACAGCCGCTAAAAAATTATTACAAATTGTTTACAAACAAAAAATATGGAATGAGAAGAAACGCACATTTATCTAAACAGTACTAATAAAAATCTCTAACTTAGTATTTCGGGACTCAGAAGCCCGAAGCGACATTTAAGGCTTGGTGCAATAAATTTTGCTAAGATGAGAAGAATAATGGGTCAGGTACATCAACCCATCTATAAATGAACCTGCGTTCGCTAACGCTGCAGGCATCCGTTGATTGTTCTAATTATTGTTTAGCCATTTTGGGATAAACCAATTAATGGCTGTTGTTTCACCGGGCAGTATCACAACCCACAAACAAATAGAATAAAATGACGATATTTACGGAAAATACTATTCTTGCTTCGACTAACAGTCAAACTACTCACATTATTATTAGTTTTTATTATTATTTACTGCGTCACTTATTCACTTTCTTTTATTCCCACTTTGTATATCCTTATTTTTTAACTTATAGAGAAGCTTGCCTATGGTGGAAACTCGGTTCTATCTAAACGTTCTCGAGTCACTGCCTGGTTGAAAATTGTATGCTACCACTAAATACGAACACTGAAGCAGTTTTTCTGAAACCACATGCACCATTCAAACTGGCTGCCTTCAACGTTCGCACACTAATGCTGGTCGGGAAACAGATAAGGCTGGCTATATCTTTAGAAAATCTTAATATCGAAGTTTGTTGTCTATCCGAGAACCGTATTCAAGACTCTGGTGAAGTACTACAAATTCGCTCTCCATCTGTCGCTCCAAAAAGCTTGTTCTA